TGTTAGGTAGATTTAAGACGTAACGACAAGAAAATTATATTTTTCAATAGATATGCAAACTTTTCAAATTAAAATGTCACTCTAAAATAATAATATAAACAAAATTATGACATTTTCAAAGCATATAAGTATGTATTTTTGTTAAAATTGTATTATAAATCAATTCGCTTAACAGTTACATCGTAGGACACAAGAATTTGTGAATTAACAATCTGATGTCATGTCTACTTACATAACCACCTTGAGGTTTATATAGCTTTAAGTAGTTTGTTAGGTTATTTTGGCGAATACTACCAGAAAATGATGAAATTCCAACGGAAATTTATTATAATAGAATGATTCCTACGGCAATTCCAACGGATATTTCAATACTATTATTTCCGTTGGAATTTTTCAATGGATTCTAACGGAAATTCCAACAGAAATATTCCTTTGGAATGAGTTTTTCATTGGAATTTCTGTTGGATTTTGATGATTTCAACGGTGGATTTTCCAACAGGGGTGGAAATAAAAATTCCAACGGAAATTGCATATTCCAACGGAAATTCCTACGGTAAAAAGCCATTGGAAATATAGCCGTTGGAATCACCAATTCCATCTAAAATTCCAATAAAAAAACACATTCCAATGGAATATTTCCGTTGGAACCATTCCAGCGGAAGCTATACGATTGGAATATCCGTTAGAATTTCCATTGGAATATATTACCATAGGATTTTCCGTTGGAATATAATATTTTTTTGTAGTGGAAAGTAATTACAAAAAGAGTAGAAACCTACCACATTGAAGTTACAGGCACAATTTCTTTACATCACGACCTGAAGATATATTAAGTTTTTCACCTTGCCAACTAACAATCTAACTTTTACACTCTAAACAATGTGAAGGTTATGCGAATGAAGTTTGTCATGCATAACTGTCGCATATTAACATTAAAAGGTGCGAAATTATGTAAATACCTTCGTATTTTTAACTTTCACACAATCGTCGTAAAATTATCACATAATGTTTTTACCGCTTTCTGAGGTGAAAAAGTTAATTTATAATTCAGCGGTGTGAAAAACTTATTTAGTCTTGAGAACGGGTTTCTCTTGAAGTTACCTAAAGTATTTTTCTAATGTGAAAGATGAATCAAGATTAATCTCTTGCATATTTACACTAATCTTGAGGCTAGGTTTTGCAAGAATCCTAACTTTTCACACTAAAAAGAATTAATTAATTAATCTTGTGCATTAAGGTTGCAAGTGAATGTGGATCTTTCAGCAACTACATGTGGGACTATGTGAGCTACAAACCAATGATCAGCAAGTTCAAATATCCAAGGAATGTACCATTAAGAAGTCCAAAATCAGATATTATAAGCAAGGACTTGGTGAGGCGCGGGTTCCGACTCGTGGGGCCAGTTATCGTGTATTCGTTCATGCAGGCAGTCGGGATAACTATCGACCATCTAGTCGACTGTTTTAGATATAGAGAGTGCGTAAACCTTGCCGAAAGGCCATGGAGACACGTTTGATAGTATATTGACCTTGTCCGAAGTAACTTATTGTGTATATATACGAGTTATTATACAGTATTTATTTCTAACTTACAATTTTTATATGATATATTTGGGTAATCTTGTGAGAAAGTGATATTTAATGGATCTTTTTTTCAATATATTTTTGTTATGTATCATGGTTTGGAGATATATGAATACGGAATATTTGGCAATGGTTTTTTTTTTTTTTTTTAAGAAATAGCATGGAAAATTGTCTAGACCAATTTGAAAATTCTGAAACTATTGGGCCGAAAGCCATTGCGGATTAGTTGGGCCGTAACAATTTGAGAGAAAAATTCCAACTCCAGTAAGATAATATTTCGGTGGGTTCGGTACAAAATCACGTACATTTTTCGTGAGGAAAATCGATCAACTGACTTTTTTGCTGAACTTGGCTCTACCACACCTGAAGACACACGTTTTAGATTGACACTGCCCCCACCCTACCTCCTTACACTGTGTGGATGGACCAATTTGGATACTCATGTTTTTGTTTTTAATGGTGTGTAGGTCTTGATATATACATTAATCTATGTTTATGGTGCATTATGTATCACTGGACGCATTAGTCCAAGTTTTAATTTTTGTTTTTTTATTCCTTTTTTTCTTTTGCACTTTTTTTGAAGAAAAAAAAAAATGAAGTCCCCACAAATAGAACTTTTTTTGTTCTTCATCTCATCATTATTGCTTAAGTAGAAATCCAAGACAAGACATGCCCATTGCCCACCTTAGCAAAAGTACAAGTTGCATCAAAAGACAAACAAAAATGGACCTGTGCACTGACTAGACCGCCACGTTTTGTGCCAATCCGAACATTTTTTATTTTTTTTTTTTACAAAAAATGAGCCTAACGCTTTATGTTACGGAGTGCTGACCATGTTCCTCGAGTATGAGACTCCACAAGGTCATTGTACCGGTCGTACCCTATGTGGTGGATCAGGAAATAAACAACAAAAGAAGTTAAATGGTCGGCTGTCAAATTCGTTTCACGGAATGCATGTTGCACCTTGACCTGTCAAGGGGGACTCAAGAGTTTTTTGATGCCCAGAATAAGGCTTGTGTGCACCCCCGACACCTCAGCAGAGGATTTTGGAAACTCCACGACACTCGCACTGTCGATTTTCGCTTCCACATGCCTAAACCCCAAGTCTCACGCCACGCGAAGACCCTGAAATAATCTCCAAAGCTCTGCCGCCATTATCGAGTAGAGTCCAATCGTCATTGTTAAACCTCCAAGCCAACGGCATTGCTCGTCACGGATAAGGCCCTCATCACAACCCATGCCTGACGTCCCATTGAAAGAGCCATCGGTGTTGACCTTCACCCAGCCCGGTGTAGCAGCTCCCACCTTATCCACTGTGGGGTCCGAACATTGATTTAATATTGATCACCAATTACAACATTTTTTACGAATCTTTCTTACATTATTATTTGTTGGAAAAATCAGTTGTAAAACTTGGGTTTGACCCGGTTTTGACTGAATTTTTGATGGCTAAATATTTAATTTTAGTTGAATTAAATATTGTAGAAAAATCCTACGTT